CAAAACCACACACTCACAAAAAAACCAAAATAACGTACACAACTCAACAGCTTGTGCAGATCGTGCAAACTAACCAGACAAAATGGCGACATCCCCAAGCGTGACTACTACCTGCGTGTTTTAAAAAAATAACCCTAGGCTCAGGCTCAAGGCAAAGCGCGGTGACATGCTTGCATCCTTTGGCTCGTGTAGGCCGCTTACGAAGTCAACCTTAAGGGTAAATTTATAGAAACCCACACCTCAATTTTAAAAAAGCAATGATTTTAATGCGATTCTCTCGGTCATATTTAGATCTTGTGCCCGGGATTAGAGACGTTACAAGAGTGTGAACACACTTTTTTTTTTTTTTTTTTTAAGGAGGAGAAATAAGGACGATACATGTGTGATACAAAAGAGTACGAGGAAGCAAACCACATCAGAGCACACGCCAACCCGCCCACATCTTTCCTGTTCATAATTAATTAGGGAGTACATGAAAATCTAGATCTAGATATCTAGATCCAGGCGAATCTTTCAGGATTAGATTTTTTGGATCCTGTTTTACTTTTAGATCTGGTGCGGGGTTGGTCATAGGTTGGAGATTTTGAATCAGTTGGGTGAACCTCAAATTCGGACATAAATCTAGATCTAGATCTAGATCTAGGTATAGATCTAGACATAGAATAGATTCTAGATCTAGACTCTATATATTTTATACACAAAGATGTTCAACATCTTGAGCTCCAGTCCCGACCACACCAACAAAAAGTCTTTGTACTTAGATCTAGATCTAGCTGAACTGTCTTCAGACATCACGCTATCAGAGTAAAGGGTTACGTTTATTTGAAAACAATAAGGTTTACCTTTTTTAGTTTTAGTCAGAGTTTCACGGCACTTACAACACAATAAGGTCATATAGATCTAGATCTAGATAATCTAGTTCTAAGTGCCGAAGATTAGAGGTGTTACAAGAGGAGAGATTAACAAACACAAAAAGAAGGAGGGGAGATAAAGACAATATAGATCTATGTTTGATAGGAAAACAGACGCAAACCACACCAGAGCACCTGCCAACCACCCACAATGTTCACCTTTCCTTGGCCGAAGCGTAAATAATGCCTCAAAGATACTTGTATTGCCACAAAAGACGGGTCAACACAGAAGACCAAACATGGCGTGTGGCGACGTCACGATTCTACCTTTACGTTCACAGTCGGTGCTCAGTGCGTTTGAATTTGGTGATACTTCCAGTCCCCGTCGTTTTATGCAAGAAAAATTCTGAAATTATGCAAACTGAGCCTAAAAATGTGAAATTATGCGATTCTGTTAATTTTAACAAAGAATGATAAAAGGAAATAATCAGAAATTGTGCAAAAAAATCGAATTTTGCTAAATAATATGCGGGGTGCATAAACCACGGGGACAGTAGGCTTTATGACACC